TGATGGGTCCAGGACTTGGGCAGCAATTGCACTACAAAATGCTCCTTTTCCTTTTTGCTTGCCCATTCAGTTGTGCTGATGTAGCTCTTTAATAAAGCTGTGCTGTGAAATGCATCCTGTTTTGTTGAGGTTGTTTGGGGTTTGTTCTGTTTTGTTTAATGAGGATTTGTGGCATATGGCTTTTTGTTGGTGGGTTTGCTTTTGTGTTTTTAAATCCAGGTTAGTTTCTTGACCTGGTTCACAGTGCCTTCTGGAAGTGGTGACAGCACAACTGAAAGGGCACTAATTTTATAATTTGGGTTGAGGTAGAGGCAAAAAAGAGGAGGGAGATTGTTTGGCCCATCCCTCTTTGAAGACCCTGTGATGTCAGACCACTGCATGGGAAATGAAGAGACATTGATTAAAAGAGGCCTTTTCACTTGCACTCCAGAAATGTTTCTCAAGAGTACTTTGTGGTCAGAAGAGAATACTATTCAGTTGGCAGCTCTGCTATTTGAGGCTTTCTGACTGCCCACAGTATGGTGGGTCATTGGGTAATGTGCTAGCTACAGCACAGAGAGAATTCAGCTACATTTCACAGCCACTGGCTGCAGAATCTGTGAAAACACTTCATGTGCCTAAATTTTTATGGTTTGTCTTTTTTTTTTGAGCAATTTCTCACTATAAGTACTTGGTGTTAATTTTAAAACATTTTTACACACCCACTTGTGCTGTATTTGAACCATAAGATCTTTTTCTCTTCTGTTTCTTGGTAACATAATGTTTTGGTAGTCTTTCCTTAAGCCTGGAGATTAGGCAGTTGTCAGTTTTTGTTTTGCCTGTCTCAGTATCTGTTTCCTAGGGACAAAGTCATCCTGCAGATGGTTCCTCCATTTCCATCATCTAACCCTGCAGCATCCATTGAATCTTACTCAGAAAAGAGAGCTGTACTATTCTGTTTCTGATTATTTTTTCCCTAGTGTGGGGAGCACGCCTTCCTAATCCCTGCCTGAAATGCTTACATACAGATCTTTTTCTTATTACAGCCTTACATACTGTCCCCAGACACTGTATTGGCTACAGTGCTTTGGATCAGGAAGATTAGCAGTCTGCTCCTGTAATTTTTGTCAATTCTTTTTCTTAATTAGTGGCTTGAAGGAGGTCTTTAAATAACTTGAAATACTACCTCAGAGTTGATGGATGGGTGCTTTGGTCTCAGATTACCATTATCGCTTGGTGTTCTCTTCTTTTTGCTTTTCGTCCTTTTCCCTCCCTCCCCTCATCCATCCTGAAGGGACAAAAATTGCAAGTATTTCTTCTGAGACATTTAATCACATATAAACACCAAAGTGTTGGTGCTGCCTTCTCTTGTGTCTATTTGATCATTCACTGAAATAAACCCAACATGGTGAAGGAAAGTGGGCTAGTAACTGCTGTCATTTTTTAATCAGTTAATTCTCCCTTTTGCTGGGAACTAAACATAAGGAGAAAGGAGGTAGATTTTTAGACCATAGAGATGCTTGCCAAGAGTTTTGGAAATGAGAAGAATTGATATTATGATCTGCTGAAAACTGTTTTTATGCTCTCTTTCACAGCTTAATCCCTCTGATATATGCTTCTTGTTATGTGACCTTATTTCCCCATAACATTTAAATGAACCATTACATACCTGTCAGACTTTGGGCTTTTGAGCAACTGCTGAAAGCAAAAGTGTCTCAGCCTCCAAATTAACAGCAATACTTACCACTTAGAGTAGTTGAAATCCTAGAAAAGCTGCCTTACTTGTCAAACTTTAATGTGATTATGCTTGATGTTTTTGTTCAGTGTTTGAATCAATGTGCAGATAACTTAGTCACATTTCTCCTTGCTCTGCTGTTTTCTCATTGTCTGCCAAGGAAGCAGGTGGCTATTCCCACTCAGCAGAATGAAATACTCTGAAATATGGAGTGGTGATCTGAACAACTCGAGGGTAATTTGTAAATCAGTAATTTGATTCCTTAAGCTATGTGTTCTGTTTGCTATTTTATCATAAAATTACAGCTAACTTCTTTCTGTTTAAACAAGTAAGTTTCAGCTCTCAGCAAATACACCCAGGTGCTTATTTTCTCTGCTTTGAAATTGATCTTGGCAATTCAAACCGAACAAACCTGTTTCATTGTGCAAACCTTATTTTCAGGCAAAAGTAATTAATTGATTTTTTTTTTTTATCTGTTGGAATGACTGACAAAAATTTTGCTGTCAAGTCAGTTAAACCTTCACAAAGGTTGTTTCATCAGGAGGGGGATGTAAGCATCTCTTAATCAAGATGCATTTTCAGGAAATGTAGCAATTTCATCTCCAGGTAGTGCTGATGCTTCTTACTTAGTTAATGGTCATGAGTGGCCGCTTCCTTTGTCTTTTGTTAATTAGTTACTGATAAATCATTATGAGTGTAAGGCAGGGACAGAAGTACTGCCTGTTAAATGATTATACTTCTAAATGGTGTGACCTTTCATCCAGGTTTTGTATTCAAATCTTAGCTTTAAAGGCTGAACTTGCTTATTCATAAGAGCTTGGTAAGTGTCCAAAGGACTACGTGTGCTTATTGCTATGCCCTTATTTGTACTTTTCTAAGATATTCTAATAGAAGGCCAGGTGGTTAATGATCAACACACTTCTGTGTGTTTTTGAAGGTAGATCTGAATTTTTTTTTTCCTACATGTTTTTTAGGTCTAACTGAAGAAAATTTTAGTGTCTCTGGAGGACAAGCATTAGTCCTTTAATTTCAGGAGAATTTGGTGTTTGTTACTATGCTGGCAAGTGACTACTTCAGACACATGTACAGTGACTACTTCAGTACCATGCTTGTAATGTGTTCCTGCAGAGATCTTGGGTATAGATCAGCAGGTTATGCAGGATCCTAAAGAACAGAAGTGCAGAGAAGGTATTTTGAAGGTACTGATTTTTGGGCTCTGAACTGAGCCCTGCAGTTAAGAATGTGCAGCCTGAATTTAATTAGGTAACTTGTTTGTTTAATTAACAAGCTCTAAAAATTATATGATTTTGCTTTTCCTGAGGTCTGGCTGCTCTCTTCTTCAGCAACTTTTGCTGAGGTAGGTGTGAGTCAAAGTTTGCTTTGCAGAATAAAACAATGTACTCCTTCTGACCTAGGTCTTGGTCAGAGCTCGCTTGTGCAGCCATGGAGATAGAGGGAGACAAAACAAGGAAGAAGAACCTTTTATGAAGCCTAGTAACTTCAGATTATATAAACTGGGGTTATGCAGTTCCACAAACAACTTCTCTTTTTGAAATTGCCATTGTTCAACTGTAATACATATGTTATTATCCATTTCTATCACATATATAATTCTTTCTTCCCACTGTTTGCTGAAAAAAGTGTACATGGGCAGTGGACTTTGCTTTTCAACAGAAACTATTCTAAAAGTAGATATTATCTACAGTCATAAACATTTTATTTCCTGTCAATCAAAAGGACTTAAAATGATACAAGTCGCCTTGTTATGTGAGATCATGGGCCAAGGTTCTTTGCTGAATCCGTTGCTAAGTTATACTGCAGAAATATTTTTTTTTCCTCTGGGGAATATAGGCAGAATAAAGATAAGGGTTTAGTGAATAGGGACTTTGCTTACTTGCAAACTTCCTTGTTGATTGCAGAAGGTTGCAGTTTTTAATTTTTTAAAATTAATACATACTACCACCATCACCCTGACAGCATTAAATTTATAGGCATTTAGAATAGAACTTTTTTAGAATAAAAGAATAGAATAGGATAGAAAATAGAATAGAACTTTTTAGAATAAGAACAATTGTTGCAATTTAGATTTGGAGTGTACAGCTTTTGTGAAAAAGAGGAGTTTGAAAGTGCATTCCAGATGTTCTGGACTGATTTTTGTTGCATGTGAAGCTGTTCCACTATTAGCAATGTTTCATGGGAAATTAAAATTGACTGTTTGGGCACATTACATTTCTGTGCTTTTCCTAGCACAAATACTGTAATTGTCACTGAAATACCTTAACCTGCTTTGTCAATTCTATTTATCCCAGACCCAGAGGCCTTCATCTTTGGAGACTTGATCTACTATTGCTTCTTAATGCTTCTGCCTAACTTTTTCTATCTGTGAAGTAAAAAACATGAAGGTATGCCATAGTTTGGTAATCCTGTTCCTTCTTCAGAGTACTTGTGTGATGTATACTGCTTGTCAGATTTGTGACTAGGAGTTAAGATGAAATCTGATTATTGTTTGTAAATCTATTCTCCTGAATTATTGTTCAGAAATATAAATGTTACTGTTTCTTATTTTACATCATACCTAAATGATTGCAATTTTTCTATTATATTGGGAAAAAACCCTTGTTTGGGGAGAATATACTTTGTGATACAAGCTTGTGAACTTGGTTCACTTACAAGCAAAGTTTGCATGGGGGTTTAAAAAGTTTTACCCAAACACTGTTATACAATACATAATATTTTGTGTATGATGTAGTGATAATTACCTGAAATGAGAGGGCTAGAAGGAATTGGGAAATAGAAGGGAAGATAATGAAACAAGTCTTATCTGAAGTTAGCAGGCAGTATTATGGCTTAATTCAAACTCTACCATACATGCAGAAAAAAATACAAACCACACATAACAAGCAAAAAATATTCAGCAAGCAATGATGAAAATAATCAATCATTTACTGGGGTTTTTTTGTAATGTTAAAATATTTTACCAAGACAAGTTGCAGTCAAAAGTAATGTGAGTTATTTTGAAAATGGCAATACATAAAGATGCATTTATACAAGTGCAAGACTAAATATTTTACATAACTGTATTTCAATGAGAAGATATACAGTAAGTGCACACTTGATAACACTAAGCAGGCAAAACTTAACGTTAGTTCCATATGCTGCTGTATAGTTCATGCACAGATCTTTCCCAATGAGGCTGTTCCAAATCATTCTTGCTGGGATGAAAAACAGGATGGGTTGCTGGTAAGGGTGTCAGCATGGATGGGGGTCAGTTATAGACATTACTTACTGTAATTTGTGATTGCCGTGGCAGAGGAGTGGCTGTTGGGGTGATAGTAATACTGCTGGTGATTTTATTGGTGGGCTTAGTGGGCAGGCCATTAGCTAGGGCTGGAGTTCTGCTGTCTTGCACTGCATTGCAAGGGCTAGTGGGCTTGGAAGCGGTGAGAGCTTGCACATAAGGACTTCCTAAATGAATGTGGATCTTGTTATCCTCAGTAGTTATGACACTTGATCCTGTACTGTTAGATCTCTGAAACTGCCATGATGACTGTCTGTCTGGGGATACTCTAAAAACAGTGTGCTTGGCTCCTGTTTCCAAAGGCTCTGAGGAGAGTGTTTGTTCCTGAGAACTTGAGCCGGGCAAAGCCAAAGGGGACATTGTTCTTTCAGGAGTTAGAGAACCACACGATTCAGGAGTTTGAGATCTTGAAAAAGTAGTAGTCATAGTAATAGGAGAAATTACATGCTCTGGGGTCATGTAACCTTCTCCTGCTTTTGATTTTACAGGTGTTAAGGAGGCGTTTTGAATAATGGTTATTCTTTGCTTTGGAGTGCCACAGTTGGGTATAACTGCTGTGCTGGTGTAGGAGTGAGGGCTTTCAGTGGTAGGACTGGTTATTTCCAGGGTTGCTGTGTTCTGTCTATGGTCTGGAGTTACTTTTATGTGAAGGGGTTGGCCGGGTGTATGGCTTAGCACTAGATCTCCAGTCTGTGCACAGTTTCCATTTTGCTTTGTGTGTATCTTTCCATTTTGAGGATGGCTCTCTTTGGACCTCATCCAAGGGATCCACAGCTTTTTGTTGGCGGCATTTGCGTTGGATGAGTTGCTTTTGAAAGACGCTGTTTGTTCCTCCTCATTATCACTGTCTTCATAGAGCTGCCCATTTACGACCGTTCGCTCCAAAGGCATGAGGGTTTTGTAATCGGGTGGCTCGTTGTCTGCTGGATCTGTTTGGATTTCTTTAGAAAAAACTTGCACATCTGGAACTTTCTTTCCGTTGAGACCAGGCCTGATATTCTTGCTGAAGGATCTGTACCTCTCCAGCTCTTTGGTGAGGCTCTCCATCTCTCTTGCTAACTCCCTGTTTTTGTTTTCTTGCTGGAGGAGTTTCTTCTGTAAGACTGTGTGATCACCTCGCAGGTGGCAGATTAGGTCTTCTGTTGCCACGTATTCATGAACTTTCTCTTTCAGTGCATCTACTTCTCTGGAAAGGTGACTCGATTTAGCTTCCTCTTCTCTGAGTTTCTTGAAAAGGCGCTCCTGATTGGACTCTGCCTTTTCTGTTAATTTATACCTCGCCAATTCCATTTTCACAGCCTCCAACTCCTCGGAGAGGAGCCTAGCTCTGTCCTGTTCACTGACATATTTTCGTTCTAGAGACTCAAATTCATCTTCAGTTTTCATAAGATCATCTTCTACTGACTTCATTTCATTGAGCTTCTGCTTAAGCCTTTCAACTTCTTGAGAAAGCTCTTTGATTATGTTGTTTTCCTGCTGCAAGGAGGTGCTGGATTTAGTACTTTCCTTACGTTTACTTTTAAGAAACTCTTTTTCAACATCTTCCAGGGACTGAAGTCTTTTACTTAAAATATTCACTTTGGAAACAAGATCACTTCCTTTCTCCTCTTCTGCTTTCAGTTTGTTTTTCAGTTCATCTCTTTCTTTTGTAACACTGGACATTTTTTCCTCTGCATCAGATTTTGATTTCAGTGCCTTTTTACTTTCCTCCATCAGCTTTTCTGTAACTGACATCACTTTATTTTGTTCCACCTGAAGCTGGGAAGTTGCAGCTTGCAGCTTTTCTTCTGTTTGCTTTATTTTTTCACCCATAGTTTTTCTTTCATCCACCAGCATCACTGTTAAACTCTTCAGCTTTGTTAAATCTTCTTTAAGTGTAAACTCAGTTTTTTCTAACTTGCTTTCAATTGCTTCAAGCTCACCAACTCTAGCTTTTAAACCATCCAGCTCATGGGACAACTGCTTTGTTAAAATTTTTTCTCTTTCTAGGTTGCATTTCAGGGAGTAACATTCCTGTTTACTCTTGTTGAAAGCATCTTCTAGTTTCTCCAGCTCCATAATTCTTTTATTAAGTTTATCCACTTCCCCTTTAAGGTTCTTGCTCTGTGATGCTTCTTGTTCTAACTTTCTATTAAGTTCTCTGCACTGATCTTCCATTTTTATGAGCTCTTCATCTTTTCCTTCCATCTCTAGCAGCCGTTTCCGTAGTTCTTCTACTTCAGTCATAAGTGCGGCGTTCCCACACTCTCCCTTATTTATCTTATCTCTTATGTCTTGTAGTTCTTCTTCTGCCTTTCGTAAAGATCTGTTGGTCTCTTCCAGCTCATCAATTTGCCGGCTGAGAGTCGTTAATTTGAGCCGGAGCTGGCGATTCTGGCTGTCTTCATTGGTTAGTTTGGCCATCATTGCTTCTTGGTCTTGGGAAATCCTACTGCTCTGGGCGTGAATTTCAGCCTCCAGCCTGCTGGATCTCTGTTTCTCTTCTTGAATTTTTGCTTCAGCAAAAGTCAGCTTTTCGTGTGCTTGTTCTGTAGAAGTGGTTAATTCTTGAATTTTTTTACTTTGTTGATTCACCTGCTCAGTGAGTCTTTGCTGTTCATCCACCACCATTAAAGCAAAGGATTTCAGTTTAGTCAATTCTTCTTTCAGTTTAGCTATTTTCTTGTTGTTTTCCTTTTCTTTTTTTGCTTGATATACTGTCTCTTGTTCAAGAAGCTTTTTCAATCTGTGGGAGGAAATAATATTGTATTTTGTAGCCATTTTAGTGGGCATTTAAAAACACACTTGAAATACTAGGACATTTCTGCCACATGTCCATGAACATCCACTTGTAACTAGAAGGAGACCTCTCCTTGCAGCATTATTTGGAAGTGCCCACTGGTCCTACTTCCTATTCAGAAGTTCTTTGGTAATGAACACTTCAGCATGATCATTTAGACTTAGCAACTTCTTATTGTGCCCCTTTAATTACATTTGCAACTTTTGACAGGGATCAGTGCAACAAAACTGTTCTGTTATTCTGCACTGGAACTGTGCTTCTCTCGGCTGTTTGCTGAGACTAGGTGTGTGTGTGCAAACTTTGTCTGGTTTTTTGTGTGTGCTTTTTTTTTTTTTTAAAGAAATGTGATTATTACAATGCTTGAGAAATTAGGTCAGTGCAGGCCTCAAGGGCAGATATAATTTACACATCATAAACCTCCTAGCTTTGTTACTTATAAACCATCCTGATATTTTAAAATCAAACCTTAAGGACATTTGAGTATGTGAAGGAAATGTAGCCACAAAGGGCAGTTATACTGCCTAATGTGAATTCCTGAGCAGCACACCAGAGCAAAATGAGGTAAGTCTGTCCTTAGTGGAAGTGCAGGCCTTGTGACTTCATGTCTAATAAACACACACACACACACACAAAAATGCAGTCAGCAGATAAACAGGCATTCAGTAGTGCCTTTAGAACTTAACAAAGCTCAAATGTCTTAATGTGTGTTAGACCTGGATTTGCAGATATGCCTCAGTGCATTGCTGCTTTTACATGATTCTTGAAGGTTTTCATGATGATTTCCCAAAATTATTTTTACAAGTTTGTTAGTACTCAGTCTTTATTGAGATACAACATACTTAATTAGCAAGAGACTTGGGATAAGGTTGTGTGTTGTTTATGCAAGAGCCTAAGAAACCTCCAAATACCTCAACTTCTTAGGTTCTTTTGTGGACCTTTCTTTGTCAAGGAGATGCTTGTGGAGTACATCTAAAGTATGATTTAGGTTTGGCCAGCACATATGCCTCCTTTCAATTACATTTTTCCTACAGTCAAGATAAATATATTCTGGTATTAAACAAAATCTGAAAAGCCTAGGTTGAAATAAGAATTAGAATTTGTATGACGTTTATAAGAATGGTACAGACTCAGTTGTGTAGATCATGTGGAGGAAATGACTGGGTTATCAAGACTGTACGTGTACAGAATGACTGTTTAGGCACCCATTGAACCTTATTTCTTTTCCCCTCTGAAATATGATGGCAGCTGTCTAGAAGTTGCTGCTGAAACATAGGAGTTCCCCATTTGTCTGGGGTCACTGTAGTGATGTCCATGTCCAAGTGATGAGTCTTTACAGCTTCCTACTGACAAGTTCCTGTTGCAGCCTCCCTTTTAGTTCAGGAAAAGCTTAGATAAGGGCCTCCTTTGCACAGCTTTTAATTAACTGTTGACTGACTGAAGGCATCTATTCCTGGGCAATAGGCTGCCTCAGCAGCATCCCCTTTGGAAGCAATGTAATTTTCCTGCACAGAGAGGAAGTCCTCACCATTGTATTACAGTCCACGAGACTTGTCTGATTTAATGGTGATGTTGTGCAGAAATCCATGATAATAAAATTTCTTACATCATCTTCACAGTCCCTACTGTTTCTATTTTAGTGCCTAAGTTGCACTATGTTGAATGTAATAAAACACTTTGTATGAAAAATTAACAGAATGGGAAGTAGCCATAAACATCAAAGACTTGAAGGAGTCACAAATTATGTACACCAGTCAATTAACATAATGGGGGAAACAGATATGGAAATATATAAATGGAGAGGGAGAGGTTTGTGAAATGAGTTTGTAGGAATGCTGCTGGTTGACAGAACAAATAAATGACTGCACCATCTCAAAGGCAGCTTTTTACTGTGCTCATGGTATACAAACTTCAGTCCCCTTTTCAGTCCTACTTTCAGTTCTAATTCTTTCTAGTGTAAAAATCTTTTTTCCCTCCCCACCCTTGTCTCTGAATGCTTTAGTAGTGAAGTTCAATTGATGATTTACCGTTGCCATAGCTATAAAACCATAACAGAAGCACAACTAACAATTTCATTTGGAATGAACTCAGGTTTTGAGTGTATGCATGAAGTTAAGACATACTAATATGGTTACTTGGACTTACTAGCATTTGATTTATTTTAGCTTGCTTCACTGTAATTTATTTTTTTAAGGCAGATTTAGCTGTGGTCATTAATGCCTTAGGTAAACAGTGTTTTACCTAACACTTGCATATTAACTAGTTGATACCTCTCTGGGCAATTGAAAGTCTTAATGATCCAGGAAGTCATGCCTCTTACATTGCTTTAGAAAGAAGCTCTTAGGCCAAACAGTAACAAACAATTGCAATTTTCATAGAGATGCTGTCTACATTTTTTATTATTCAAATAGATTTTACATAAATATAATAAGTTGACAATCAAGTCAAATCTGGTGAAGTCTGCGTTGCATGGGCTATTTGAATAAAAGTCCCTTTATTACTGGTACCTGGATTGTTGTGTAAGGATTTTCAAGAGAGTCTGTTTCTTTGGTCATGTCTAAAGACTTTAGGTATTTAAAAATGATTCCTTCATTCAAAAGACAAAATGCAGTTTTAACATTCAAACAGACTCACGAGTAAATATTTGTAATAACTGAGATCTATTTCATTTTTTAAGAATATTTCAATAAAATCACTTGATTGAAGACCATAGCTCAGCAACTAGGAGTTAAAGGATTTTAATGTGTTTCTAGAAAGAAAAAAGGGAACGTATTAAGCATGGTATATTTTTGATACTGTGTCATTCACTTGCTTTTGGTAACTGTATGCTTAGTCATATATTCCTATATAGAAAATACCCTCAACACTGCTGAATAGATAGTGATTTCTTGGACAAAGATTGATATTTTAAGAAGTCAACTGGGAGTCTGTTAATATTTGCAGAGAATTTTCCTTGGCTGCTGGGTTCCTGTTTCATGGTTCAGAAGGTCACAGTGACTGTGTCTGCACATATGCACTTAGGAATGGAAGAGGACCCTAAAATGTTTGGGGGTTTTGGTGTTATTTATTTGTTGGCTTGTGTTCTTAAATTAACTGCTTCATTTTGGTCAGGGCATTTTTTTTGGAACCCGAGTTCTGTGGGTCAATGCTTGGTTGTGTAAATTATCTGAATTAAGAAGTCATGTGCTTGAAGAAGTGCTTTAACTGATAATAGCCCTTAGTGACTTTGGTGATAGAGTAAAAATACTTTGTGTTAACTTCATCCAAAATGCTGTCTTCCTGAAGAACAGTATCCAGGGTATCTGAGAGCACAATTTTACTGAAAATATGCAAAGGTCAAAAAAGTTGGCTCAAATAAATAATAATTTTTTGAAAGAACACACACTCCCCTATCCAATAAAATATTTTTATCATTTTCTTTGCCAGCTAAATTTCATGATCATGTAATTTTGTATCAGGGAAAGGTAGGTATATCATTTAGACAAAGCTTTTGCACAGCTCTAAGCAGTTGACTTCACAGGACTACAACAACCGTTTATGAATTGAGGCCAGCAAAAACAGACATTGAAAATTGTTTTTATGAACATGACTGATAGGTAGTTAAAGAGTCAGGGCAGTATCTTATTACTTCAGAGCTTCTGTTATAAATTATTGCTTTATTGTGGCTTAATATTGTACTTATTGCAGTACCAGTTAACTGCTCCTTTATTTCCTGGAAAAATTGTATTTCTCAGCTCTCCTCTGTTCATTGTAGTTGTTTCCCTCGGCATGCAGGCTACAGTTTCTTGGTGTTAACATTGTACGTTTAATTGTGTTGTCTTGTTTTTCTTCATTTTTTCCAAGTGCATGTAACTTGAGCTACACTACATTATATTTGGCAACATAAATTACTGTATTCTCTACAAAATGTAGAGACTCCCATAACAGTTCACTGTCATAACATTTTGTCTTTAAGAGGGACTTTCCATTTTCCTGGGGTGATCTGTATTACATGGAGATTGTTTAATTTATGTTTTTACAGAATTCTAAGTTTCACAGAAACCAAAGAAAGTACTGGAGACTGAGATTGCAACACTTTGTTTTTTTTTTATTTTTTTTTTTTTAACTTCTGGAATGAGTTATTCTTTGAATTATAAGAATAAAAATTGTTTTTTGTTTGTTTGTTAAAGCAATGTTGTAGTGGCAACTTTAGAAAAGGCTGTCTTCTAAGAATGAAAGTGAAATAGATACTGGTTTGTAAACCTCAGCTATTGTCTTTCCAGTGTTGTGGAGTTTTTAATGTACATATTGTCAATATCTATATCAGACCATTCTTCAGAAATGATAGTGAATTTTAATTTCTGGGATTATTTCTTTTTTAACCATATTTTTAACTAGATTGTGCTCTTTACCCTTCCATAGGTGAAAGATGTGGTTTATGAGAGGTTCTACAGGTTATTACATGGGACACTGACTTGTAAAGTTTTTGGACATATGCTTGAATTTCCCCTGGTACAAAGCAAGTAAAAGCTTTAAGCTGGAAGCTTTTAAATGTGGATGAAGTCATGCCTCTTCCTTTGAGGCACTCTTCCCAGTCACAATAAGACATGGTCTGGCCTTTACTAAGAGAAGAAACATGCTTCTTCATTTCTGGTAAATCTTACAAGTTGTTGTAATTTTTTTACACCAGTGCAGTTACATATTTATTTTTGTAAGAAAGCCAGTCTATGCCTTCCACAGTTCATTGAAACAAATTTTGTGTTTGTTAATGTATTTCTGGTCTCGGGATGGCTATGCATTTTTAAATTTTTTTCTTTTCCATTGCTTACAGTTCTATTTATTGATGTGCAGTTTTTATGAAGACATGTTACAGCTTTTTTTTCTTTTTATGGCTCTCTATTATCTTTATTAATGCTTCTTTTTCCCCTGTCATAAAGAAAGTCAAAAGCCTTTGAAATTACAGCAGCAAC